GGTAGACACATGTTAACTTGAGTGAAGAGGAGGATAAAATACAGGAAGAGGAAGGTCAGTAAAACATAAGGAGAAGATGCTAAGAGGAGTGCAAGAGTTAAAGACATCAGAGGTGAATACTGTGTTACACACAATTCTGCACTAATGGTGATCTGAGAGTGTATGCCTAGACAAGCAGGCTAAATGGATGTGGGAGGGAGAGTAGGAACATAACCATGAATATATGTAGATTTGACAGAGCCTATTTGTACATGTGTATTTATCTTTACTTCAAATACCCATTAATGTGGTAAAGCATACAGAGGGCAAAGTTGTAAACAGTTCTTATATACAACCAAATATCTTGACGGAATGAGTGATGGGGCCTGCGAGCTCAGGACCATGATCTTAGGGAAAATCAAGGTCAGTTGGCATAGCACAATCCACAAAGACAATGTTCTACATTCTTCTTCAGTTAGTAGCAAGTGATTGGGGTTTTACACTCATGAGAGGCCATCTAAGTGGCAACTATTGGTCACTCCCTGATCAGAGGAAAGAAGAGTGAAGAACATTGAAGGCACATGGAAACAATTAGTGCAGTGGGATAATGGATCACTCATATATCTGTCTCCATGACCCTGAGACCAGAACTAGATGGTGCCCAACTACCACTACCAACTCCTCTGAAAGGGATCACATTAGAAGGTCCTGGATGTATGGGAGAAAACTGTGAAACAGAACTCAAAATTGTTTTTTAAAAAACATGCTTACTGGTCAGGTAGGGAAGGTTGGAGCACTGCCCTTCCCAGACATCTTTGAGCTCAACCCCATGGCACAGTTTTCAGCTCAACAATGGACTGGTCTATTTTGGGAACAGTAACACTGTGGAGGTATCCATACCTTAGAATAATCAACCACTTAAGATAAAACAGTAGCACTAGCCAAGGACAAAATTCAGAAAGGTTAGGAAAGAAGGAGGAAGAGGAACACAAAACACTGGGAGGAAGTGGGATAAGTGAAGTTCCATTGTGAGGATTGCAACCAAAGACATGAAACAAATTTGTGTAAATTGTTGAATGAAAAACTGATCTCCTCTTTAAATCTTCACCCAATTCATAGTAAAAGGTTTTTTTTTTTTGTTTTTTTTTTTAAAGCTATGCAGTATGAGCTCATTATGTGACCTAAAACAGACATAGAAAAGTGTCTGAGGCCCACTCCTAAGATTATGCCCAAGAAACTTGAAAACAGGGACTCAAACAGATATATGTGCACCATTGTGTATGGCAGCACTACTCCCAATAGCCAAAGATGGAAGCAACCCAGTAGACCAGTAACAAATTAATGGATCTCCAAAATGTGGCATATACATGCAATGGAATAGCATTCAGTCATAAAGAGAAACAAACTTCTGGAAACATTATACTGAGTGAAATAAGTCCATCACAAAAGAACAAATATTGTATGATCCCACTTATACAAAACATCTAGACTTGGAAAATGCACAAAGACAAAAGTTTATTAGTCATTACCAGGATCTGTAAAAAGGAGAGAATAGGGAGTTAGTGTTAAAAGGATACTGAGTTTCTGTTTGGGCTAATGAAGATTTTTTTGGAAATAGATAGTGGAATTGTTTGGGTAACAGTGAATATAATTTATGTTTCTGAACTGTACACTCAAAAATGGTTAAAATGGCAAACATTTTGTTATATATGCATACATATTTCATCATAGTATTTTTTTCAGAGACTGAAAAGAAATACACCGGAATGATACTCAAGAGTATTGCAGGAGATTTTATTCGTCCTTCAAATTTTTTTGGTTTCCAAATTTCTATAATGTTTATACGTTATTTTCATCATGGAAATTAAATCAAATACCATTTATTGTACGAAAAATGTCCAGTTTGTATTTTGCCCAGGAACCCAACTCCATTTCCCAACCCCTGACCTACTTTCTTTCTCAGAGAGGATTTAGCCTGGATTTTTACTAGGGTCTGTGACAGCATGGGGAAGATTCGGGTTTTTAGATCTCATTCTCTGAGCCTGGGTACTAACTGGTTGTGTGGGTAAATGACTGGAGCACCCCAGGACTTCAGGCATCTACATCACCTCACTTCCCTCCCTGCCTTGGTTTCCCTCTCTGCAGAACACAGTCCCATGCCCAGCTCTGACCCACACTCCAGTGTCAGAGTGTAACCCCACCCGATCCCATCCCAACCCCACCAAAGCCCAAGCTTTCCCTTACTCAGCCCCTCTCTTCTGCAGGATCTAAGTGTCTAGCTCCTCTTCCTCTCCCCACCCCAGACCAGCCAAGCTCCCAGATCCTCCCTGCCTAGAGTCACACACACACACACACACACACACACACACACACACGAACAAATAAAATAAAAAACACAACAACAAACGCAGAGACCACCCAGGCTGAATCCCCATATTCTGGGCAGGGATTTGGATTCCAGGTGCACTTGCCCTGGAGCAAATCTGTCTCCAAAGTGGATGTAAGGGCTACTGATTCATGAATGCTCCCTCCTGTCCCTTAAACATCCCTTATCCTAGGCCAGAAGGTAGAGAGAGCAGCAGGTAGGACCATCTGCCCAACAGAAAAGGGGGTAGAATGTGCATAGGATGGGCGCTGGGAGAGCTCAGAGATCCCTAGCAGGGAAGAACGTGGAGCTAAAAGACAGACAATGCATTGCTGAGTTCTATCAGAGATAATTTCAAGATTCATCAGCCCCAGTTCCCTGTCCCAGCCCAGCTCCCTGCTGATCTTGGTCAAACACTTCTGGAAGGAGAAGTACTGTCTGCCCACCCCAAACCCTGCCGGGTGCGTTTCAGGTTCCTGGCTTTCCTGGCCCAGGTTTTGGATCATCAATCTCATCTGCTAATATGGACAGAGGCCCTCTGAACCCACTGTTGGGTGTCTACCTTGTGAAGACTCTTCAGAGTCACCCCGGCCCCTCCAGACTGCCCCTGTCCTCCATCTTTCTACACCCTGGGTTCTGTCACAGAACTGTTGAACTTGCTTGTCAAGCTTTGCCATACAGTCATACAGTATTCCTTTTCTTCTCAAAGCCCTGGGATGTTTCTCCAACTGTAAGAAGGAGACAAAATCACACAGGCCTTATAAAGTTGTGAGGATCCAATAAGTGTATGTGGGAACGTGCCTAGAACAGTGCCCAGCCTGTAGGAAGTGCTCCCTGAGCATCTGCTAGTATTACTGGCCAGGCAGCATCCTTCCCATTTTACAGGTGGTATAGTGGTCCAGAAAAGTTCAATGGACCAGATCCAGGACTAGAACCCAGGTCTACATAGAGAAGGGCAGAGAGAGGGGCTCTCAAGAGAGACACCTGTCCCCTCTCTGATGACAGCAGGTGGTGGAACTCTTGCTTGCTTGACTTTGAACAAGCCCCTTTACCTCTGTGAGCCTCTCTCCTCAACTGTAAAATGGGAACATTGTTAACCACCTCAGCGTCTGTTGAGGGGATGAAATGAGATGAAGTATATGAACAGCTATGAGGTCCTTACACAAACAGTTGCCCAGAGATACTGACCTAGCCCTTGGGGGCTAGCGCTGAGAGTGAAGCAGCCAGCTGGTCTGAAATGCAGGGAGGTGTGAATGAACTCCCAAACTTGCAGCTAGTACCCATTTGACCTAGCTTGGATGGCTCGTTGACCAGAACTTGAACCAATGAATATAAAGATGTTTGATACTGAGAACAAGCATAAATTGCTACAATATGATGAACTAGACTTTTGACAGTGACTCAAAATTCTAATCAGAATAGAAGGATTCTTCATATCAAGAAACAACTGTGTTTCTTCAGTGTGCTGGATTGATGTTGTTGTTAAGTGCTGTCGAGTCAGTTCCAACTCATAGTGACTGTGTATAGGGTTTCCAAGGAGCGGCTGATGAGCTTGAACCAACTTTGCAAGTCCAGTGTATTAACCCACTGGGTTGATAGTGACAATTTAGATATTGGCTATCAAAAACAGAGGGTACAAAGGCATGAAGCAGCTGACTTACAAACTTTCACAAAGTGTGCTTAGTTGCAGAATGAGGGGTGTGGGAAAGAGAGAGCAGAATGGATAAGAAAACAAGATTCTTCAATATGCTGTCTACAAGAGACACCTCGAAAAGTTGGAGACAGACTAAATACCCATCAACAGAAGAATGGCTAAACAAACTGGTACATACACACAATGGAAAGCTACAAAACATTGAGGAATGATGATGAATCTGTGAAACACCTCAGACATGGTTGAGCTTGGAGGACATCATGCTGAGTAAAATTAGTTGATCACAAAAGGAAAAATATTGTATGAGACCAATGTTATACAAAGTTGAAAAAAAAAAGTTTTCTTGATAAATGAAACAATATGTAATGATGAGGTGAATTATTCACAGGCTAGAGGGTAGACACATGCTAACACGGGTGGTAGGGCAGCAATACTCAACAAGAGGGAGGTTAGCAGAGGAAGGATGAAGTTAGCAGGAGACACAGGGAGGAACGCAATAGCTAAAGTGAAAAAAGGTAAATACTGCTAACTGTTGGTGCATGGAGGGGATTGCAACCATAGAATGAAGCAAATGTGATCTGTTGAATGGAAAACTAATGATCTGTTCTGTAAACCTTCACTCAATTCACAATAAAAAGTTGAAAACAAACAAACCAACAGTTGCCCAGAGAATGTCAAGCTCCCACCCCTGCCCATCCAGGGCCACTGAGACCCATACAGTCTTCATGTGAACTAGAAAAAAAACTCACCCCACCCTGGAGAGGGGGCACTAGCCTTGTGGGCCATGTCTTAGAAGGCATAAGCTCCTACACTCCCTTCAGTTGGCAAAATTGAATAGTGAACAATCTCGACAGACGACTGAATGTAGCAGCCCCCTCCCATATTCATCGGCTATTCATTTCTGTGGTTGTTCATTCAACCCTGAAAATGCCAAGAAACTATCTCCCTCTCTCTTCTAGCCTCCTGTTATGGTTACCTGTCTACTTCTGAGGGTGTTCTTACCTGCCTCCCACAAAGCCAGCAGGATGAGGAGGCAGCCCCCGAAGGTAGAGGTGAAGTGCAGGCAATAGGCTGTCTGGGCCATGGTAGAGCTGGGCAGCTGCTTAGGGCCCAGGGTCTGGGGTCCCCTCACCTTATATGGGACTAGGTTTGACGTCATGGGGGCAGAGGCCCCTCGGGACTAAACCTTAAACAAATGGAGCTGCCCCACCCCACGCGCAGTGTGATAACAACAGACCACAACTGCTGCGTCATGGAGCCTGGTATTTGGGTGCTGGTGGAAGGGCTGGGATCTGGAGCAGGAAGGGAGAAGTGGGAGGTGATAGGCTGCTGATATCCCAGCAGAGGAAGAGGGGCTGGGTGGGGTGGTCTCCAGGGCTCTAGGGAGCAGATGGCCTGATGCTAACACCACTGAGCTGTGACTGGATGTGGAATAGGGTGAGGGACGATTGGGTGCCTGGGTTCCGAGAGGACATTCCAGTTCTTCTGATCCTCCAGCTTCAATTTCATCCTCCCATTTCTCTTGCGCCAGCCTGGCTCTCCACACCCCTTACTCACACACGGTCACTCTTCTTGCCCTGGGTGGAGATGTCATGAGCAACAGGTGAAAGAGCAAAGCCCTCACAGGGCCACTGCTGGCAACATAGGTGCTCAGACGAAGACATATGGGGGCAGCAGTAGACACAGACAGATAGATGCTGAGAACAGGCATCACACACGTCACCAGAGACGCAGACAGTCCTATGCCATCCAGAGGGATCAAGGCCAAGACCTTTGGCAAAGATGTTTGTAGACACACAGGGGCTTCTGCCATCACTTGTTACCACTCCATCTCTTCCCACTTCATCCCAGCAGCTCTTTGCCTCAGTATCCCCATTCAGAAATGCAAAGCTCTCATTTCTAGAATTTCTCTGGAGCACCCCCTTTCCCCTTTCTCCTGATGCCCTGCCCAAAGTAAATATCAGTTCAGTCACTACCTAAACTCATTCCCAGACCTCCCAAGTGGCAGCACCTGAGGCTGGAGTCAGGAAGGACACGCTGTAAAGGCAGGGTGGCTGTGGTACCTGAATCACCACCCTTCTCTACCTCTCACTTTCGTGTTCACACTGGGCCCCCCAGCTGGAAAGCAAGCACCCTGCAGGCAAGGTCCTCTCCCTGTCCACTACTGTATCCCCAGAACGTGAGACTGTGCATGGCACACAGTAGGCAATCAGTAAGTATTTACTCTCCAGAATACACTGAGAGCCAGGGGTGGTGAATACATTTCTGGGGTAAATGGGGGCAAGCAGAGAGGGTGGAGAGGACCTTGAAGAGAGCAGAAGGCCTCAGCGCTTGCGGTTTGAGGTAGGACTGAACACATGAATTTCTCTCATTATGTGGCGTGACTTGTGCTTACGTCCTGGGCAGGGCTAGAATGGGTGGGAAGAGGAGAAGAAGCCAACTGTTCATTAATGTGATTAATGGGAAATTAAGGAGGCTCCACCGAGCCAGGCCAGATACTGAGTACACTGAACTGGACAGCCAGCATCCAGCAATGAATCTTTCAGGATGGGAAAACTGAGGCAGGGACAGGCCCTTCCCACAACTCCATCAGGTCTCAGGAGTGACCCCCTTTCTACTAATCTCATAACCCCCTTTTCTCAAGGACTCAGGTCTCCAGATCAATGGTTCCCAACAGGGGGGTAATTTTGCACCCCAGAGAACATTCATTTGAAAATGCCTGAAGACACTGATTGTCACAACTTCGTGGGGTGCAGTGCTATTGGCATCTAGTCAGTGAGTAGGACCAGGGATGCTGTTAAACAATCCTACCAGATACAAGATAGCCCCAACAACAAAGACTTATCCAGCTCAATCTGTCAGCAGAGTCGAGGTTGAGAAAGTGTGCATTAGAGTAGGCACTAATCAGTATTGTGAATGAACATCTGCCTCCCCTTCCTTTTAGAGTCAACTCCCTCCAGAGGGTCCAGGTATTTGCAAATCCCTTTCTGGGGTTGAAGAATCTGAGGATGGGTTGTTGTTGTTGTTGTGTTGCTGTTAAGTGACATGGAATTGGTTCTAACTCATAGTGACCCTGTGTAGGGTTTCTAAGGCTGTATCTTTTCAGAAGCAGAAAGCCTCATCTTTCTACGGGGGAGCAGTTGGGGAGCTGGAACCAACAACCTTGTGGTTCATTTGTTCTTGTTAAGTGCCATCGAGTCAGTTCCAATTCATAGGGACCCTTAATAGGGTTTCTGAGGCTTTAAAGCCTCTTTGCAGAAGCAGAAAGCCTCATCTCTCTCCCATAGCAGCTGGCGTGCTAGAACCATAGACCTTGTGGTTTGCAATCCAGTGCTTATCGGATGAAGCCACCACACTCCCTGGGTATGAGTGGCTGTTGCTGTTATGTGCTGTGGAGTAGACTCAGACTCATAATGATGCTATATAGCGGTTCCAAGGAGCAGCTGGTAGGTTTGAGCCACCAACCTTGTGGTTAGCAGGCCAGTGCTTGTCCTACAGCACCACACCAGGACTCCCAAATCGATTCCTTCAAGTAAGCAGGCATTTTTTGTGCCTGAACTGGGGCGTGTTGGGTCAGAGCCAAGCCTGTGACAGTCATAAACAATTCTACCATACCAGTCTTGGAACATTTCTGTGTACTGAGAATAATCGGATGAGGTTAGCAATGTCATCCTCATTTTACAGATGAAAACAAATAGGAAAGTGACTTCTACAAGTTAACACAACTGGTGAGCAACAGAGACCAGACATGCCTGGAAGCAGGGCCATGCCCTTTGCCAAATACACAATGGCTGAAGACAAGTGGAGGGGAAGCTTTTATTTAGAAATAATCGTATCCACCAGCCACACAGAGGGGTCTAAGGGAACATCACAGAGCTGGGTTTGTCACCTATCCTAAGGGGAGAGAAAGGGGGTGGATGGGGAGCCTTGGGTGGGAAAGGAGTCAGTATGAGAGGATTCCCTATGGACACAGTTGTGAAATCACCACCACCCCATCCCACTTCCTGTGCCCTGTGGTTGGAACGAAGCTGCCCTCAACTAAAAAGTTTCTCTTACATTTATGGGGTGGGAGCATGGGAAGAAATTATGAAAGTTCCACTTGCCCAGACCCAGACTCCATGAGGGGAGGAAAGCCCTGGAGACCATCTAGCCCTGTACAGACCATTCTTCCTTGTACAGATGAGGAAACTCTAGTTGGAGAAATTATGTGCCTTCTCCTAGACCATACAACTGGGGCAGGATGGGAATCTCTACCTCCAGTTGGAACCACATGGTAGGCTTCCCCTTATGCTGTTGGTGAAGGGGACTCGGCGGACCAGTGGCCCCAGGATATGGACCCAGCTAGGGTAAATTGGAAGGGTGAGTCTGTGAATGAGCTTATTTGGGGGAGGGAGGGGTCCTGGCTACGATGGCCCCACACCCCTTCATTTGACGGAGTAGTGCTGACTGGTGGACTCGTGGTGGCAGCTGTAAGGAGTCAAGTGGCCACAGCCACACCCCACACTCATCTCCTTTCGGAACTGGCAAGCCTGTGAGAGACAAAGGATGAAGTATTGTTGTCCAGTCGGTTCCCACTCAGAACCACCATGACTAGGCTTTCCAAGAAACAGCTGGTAGGTTTGAACCACAGATCTTGTGGTTAGCAGTCCAGTACTTACCCAGTGGCGCCACACCAGGACTCCAAGGTATTAATGTTGTTTTTGTTGTCAGGTGCCATCGAGTCGGAACCGACTCATAGCGACCTCATGCACAGCAGAACGAAACAATGTCCGATCCTGGGCCAACCTCACTACCGCCGCCACACTTAATAGAGTGGGTTAATGTGGGGATCCAGAGACCAGCCCTCAGCTCTTCCATGGACTCCTGCCGCCCCATCACAACCCAACCTCTCACCTCTCATCTTTGAGAATTATAATAATAAATGTTGTTGTTGTTAAGTGCCATCAAGTTGGTTCCAACTCATAGCAACCATGTATAGCGTTTCTGAGGAGAAGCTGGTGGGTTTGAACTGCCAACCTTGTGATTCTCAGACCAGTGCTGATCCTACAGCACCACACCAGGAATCTAATCATTACAATGATTGATGTTAATCTATTAAGCACTGGTGTGGCACTGTAGGATAAAGCAGTAGACGGCAAGGTCAGTGGTTCAAACCTACCAACTGCTCCTTGGAAACCCAGCTATAAGTGGCAAAGCCAGGATTCAAAATCCAGTTGAATGTCGTTCCACACAGCTGGCTCTTCATCTGCTAGAGCTGAACTGAACGCTCCATACGCAGCTTAGCCTCTTGCGTGCGCCAGTCTTTCTTTCAATGGCCCCCAAGCCCCTTCCCACCCTGGTCAATGTTTCCTCTCAGTGACCACACTGTCATCTCCCCTCCCCCAAAACCCCTGTTCTTCTCAGAGTCCCAGGATGCCAGGTCCCCCAGCCCACTGGACTCGAGGACACACTCACCTTCTTGATGATATACAGAAGGCTGACAATTCCTGCTGCCACTGTGAGAGTGATCAACACGATGGCCCAGTCAGGGACAGAGCTCTTCACCTGAGGCTTCGAGCCTTAGGAACAAAGAAGGAACAATGAGTAAAGTGGGCAGGACCTCCATTGCCACCACCCCCACCTGCCTTCCATGAGTGTGCAATTGTCCCTCTGTGATTCTGATATCACATCTCATCATCTTGGGAGCACAATTCCAATTGAAGAGATTTTTTAAGGGCTTCATCCAAACCAGAGCCAAGAACAGCGTCTCCTCCTCCCCACCCCCGTGAATGTGCCTTCGGGTCTCTAGATCCCTCACTGACAAACACACGTCTCTACCTTGCTGAACCCTCTGCATCTCAGACTATGTTGTCCATGTCTCTCTTGAGCTCCAATGTCTCTAAACAGTCAGGGTCACCAGGTGGGCCTCTTCTTTCTTGGAACCCTAGCCCTCTCCACCACCCTACCCTGATTCTGGTCACTAATGGGAGCAACCTGTTAATCCTGACTTCCCTTCCGTCATTTCCTGCCCTCGGACAACCTGAGCAGAGGCCCTCCATGCCCCCCACACTCCCAAGTAGAAATGAAGGGGAGGGGAGGAGGGAG